AAATGTGTGTTTTTTGTGATTGGAGAGGGCAAGAGTGCTGAGGTTTGTCCCCTGTTCTAGCTAGGAAGTGGTCCTTTGGCCGAGGTACCCAGTCAGGATATAGGGAGCTCCGTTACACAGTTCAAGAGAGAAAGAGTAAACAATAGAGGGTAAAATAGGAGGAACAGTAACAAAATCTATATTTATTAATATATACAAATCAAACTAACCTATCCTAATTACATCCTCTTTCATTGTGTGAGTCATTTGTTCAGTTATACATCCATATGGTGCTTCAGAGTTATGGCATTCTTACAACCCACCAATTGGCAAACATTCTAACTAACTGCAATTCAGCCAAAAGAAAAACAATCTATGCAAAAACTGGATGGCTGTGCATCTGGTAAAAGTGAGCTGGATAGAAACATTGACTTCCTTATCAACCTAAGGGCTTCTACCAGGTAACTGCTGTATTTAATGACTCGTATAAATTTACACAGTTAAAAAGTCTTCATATTACCCTTTATTGGAATTATAAAGTAAAATGAAAAATAAAGCCAGAAGAACATCACTTACCTAGAAATAGGGGCTAAATGTATTTTCTGCATGGAGTGCTTTATCACTCCAATAATGGATGATTTTCTTGAGTGGATCATTTCCTGAGTAAACACTTGGGGTTGTGTTATCAATTTAAGTTCATTTTGCACCCAAACGCTCCTTGCCATCTTGGTGGCTGTTAGCATTTGTAAGATTTTTTCATGAGGAGAGGTTACACAATTTAATCCAATCCGTGCTCATTTTATGCATTCATGAGGAGAGGTTACACAATTTAATCCAATCCGTGCTCATTTTATGCATTCTCATATCCGTATCTCAAAATTTGTACAACAGTACTACAATGTGCACTGTTTTTAAAATTTAAGTGGTTATCAACAACTTTAATGACATAGTAAGAACTAATGTACAAAAAGATTAAATAACATGTTACACAATAGTTTGTTTCAGGAACTACAAAACCAGGAATTGTAAGCAAAGGGGACAGAGTATAGGGAGCTCACTAAAGACCGGGACACCTTAGATTAAATAGTTTAGTATACATTTATAAATGCCATTTAGTAATGGCAATTTTCAGTATAGTAAATAATTTTGTAAATTAGATTGCACTTTGAAACTATTACAATTAAGGTATATCGTGGCATTAATTTTTTTTTTTTTTTTAAATGGAGGATTTGTTTTTATTCCCAGTATTAACCTATACATAGTTTTATAATTGTAACATCTATTTTACAAATAAATAATTTGTACATCACTTTATATGTTGAATAAAATACATCACAAATAAATACTAAATATACAAATATATACTAATGAAAATGTGTCCATACTAAAATTGTGGTGGTCTTTACATTACATTTTTCTCTCTTTTTTATGCCAATAACAATTTCAGGGAATAAAATAATCAGAAACCTGTGTTGTTTGTCAAATTAAGGTAACTAAATCTAACCTGATCACACACCTAGCACGGTATTCATACATATTGATTACTGAAACTGAACAGGGGAGGAGAAGCATCTGGATTTGATATGGCTGTTCTGTTTGTACTTTAATAGAATGGTAAGCAGGAAAGCCATTTTTTCACAAAAATCAAAGAGTAGTATTGTTTTTTTAATATCTGATACCTGTATGTGTGGAGTGACCCTAGTGACATATATCATTTAGCTACACATATTTTTTAGATTAAGAAGTTAGGTTTCAGTAAGTGAAATTTTGTATTTCTGTGGCTACTGTTTAGTGTTGTAAACTGTAACGTATTTTAACATGTGATATTGTGTGTATATTAAAAACGTAAAAAGAATATTTGCTTCAGTAGAGGTTTTTTAAAATCTTATTTCTTATTTCAGTTGGTATAATGAAATGTTTTTATTCAAACTAATATTTATACTGCACATTTGACTTAAATAACATAAATGGTGATTTACTACTTAAATGGACTCAGGAAAAGTAGTGCAATAGAATCTATGTTACGTAAAACTTGTGACTTTATCGTTTATATGCTGTTTTAGTTAATCATATCATTAACAATTAATGCGTTTACCTTCCCTTCATATTTAAAAAAAAAAAAGTAAAATCAGTTTAAGTGTTTTTTGTTTTTTTTGGTGTGAGCCAGGACTTGGATAAAAAAAAAAAAAGAAATCTCTGTGTATTCTTCCACCAAAACAACTTTTTAAATAAGTGTGTTGTGACAATACAAAAACCACAAATAGACCTACCATTGCATTTTATAAACAATTCAGTGACATATTTTTAGTAAATGTAATGGGCAGCATTTTTATTTATGCATATAGATATAGTGATATGGGTATGGTGCTACAGGTATGCTGATTTGTTGAAGAAAAAAGCAGTATTAAAATATTTCCAAAATTGCAAGGTCATAAATAAAGAACATGAATGCCTGAAGCATTTATGGACATGGTGATCCTGGAGATCATTGATCAAAACCTATTTGGTGTTATTATGATCAGTATTGTTTGTGGAATGTTAGTGTTGTTTTACACATATTGACAAATATCTTCAAAGACTTATCTTTTATTTCATCACTAGAACAAAATTACCTCTATGGTCCATAATTTTGAATTTTTTCATGGATGTTGATCTTTTGCCTTTGCATCTCCAAAACACTTTGATTGTTACAGCAGTTGGACCAACCCAAACCACATATATTTAGGTTTATGGAGGCAAGCGTGTTTTTTAAAACCATCATGGTAACTGGGCATCCCTTAACTCTACAGAGATGAATATTAACGTGTGCTTCAGTAGGCTGTAGTGGGTGTTAATCATCTTCCTGGAGAACTACTCCCTGTCACTAAATTCTCAGCTTAGTCTTCTGTGCCGATGGCCATGGATATCTATGGTGAGAATTGATTTACTGGTGGGGAGGGATTTTAAATGTTTTTACTTAAATTCTATATGTTTACTAGCATTTCTGTTGGTGTAATATATAAACAAATTGTATTCATACATTATGTGTACAATGACTTAATTTAATTATGTGTAAACTTTATGGACGATTTCACACAAATTGTGCAGGTAGTTTATGCATCTTTCTTTTATAGACATTGGTTACTTACAATAGTGTTTTGTGATAAAATTAATGTTATTAGAATTATTAGTATTAAAAGCAATGTAAGGTAATAAATCTGGAAAATGTCATATAAATCTATCTACCAATCTATCTATACATCCCAAGCATGACATGAGAAATATGTTTTATGAGAACAAGGAAACCAAAGTTAGGGAACAGACAGTTAGAAAATAAAATGAGACATTTGTATACAAACACTTCTACAGTGTGAATCACTATACAGTGTTCACTTTTAATGCAGCTCACCTTTAGTCGTGACACCTGATGTCATGAAGAAATGTCTGAGGGGGAAGGAGAAACAAGATCTGTTTCTTTCTGGTATGCGTTTGTGTGTCAGGATTACTGTAGATACCCAACACGCAGAACTTAAGTAGATATAAAGTAAATACCTAAGACATATTACCGGACCTTAGAATGGCCGGATTTAACGTAAAAAGGCAAAAAGACACAAGATAGGGAAAAGCCAAGACAAAGGTATAACGCAAACGATAAACAAGCCAAAGGTCAAGGAATGGAGATATCAGAATAGTCAGTAGCCAAGCCAAAAGTCAAGGAATACAGAGATTGTATAGTCAATAGGGGAAGCCAAGGTCAGATACACAAGAAATCAATACAAGGAATGCGCTCTTGGATAACCAACTGGAAACCACGACAGGGCACTAAGAAATGGACAAACTGTGTTTAAATAGCTAAAGGCGTCTTCTGATAGGCTGTAGGGAAACATGTGATCAAGCTTATGTGTGTAACACACCCATATAAATTATTGATCTGGCCCTTTAAGGGTTAAACAGGAAACCCTTTATTATTATTCACAGCTGCAATGGGCTGCGTCCTTAATGATACAGACAGGGCTGCTGAGAGAGGAGAGGTCACCTCTGGTGAGTATTTGGCAGTATTCCCCTTAGTTTGTGGGAATACCGCCGTAGCGATACGATATCTCTGATAGGAGCAGCGCCGGCGGGCGGCATTACAGTGTGTATATATATGTCTTGAATGTGACTTTTGGTGTATGATTTCTCTCTTGAGTATAAGCTGTACTGTCTTGTTCGGAATTAAAGTGTGTGTCTGTTACTTTTCACTGGGTGGGAATACCATTATTCACCATTCTATTGTATAACAAATGGTATAAAACCCACAGAGATTGCATTGTTTCCAACATTCTTGATGCATGGAAAGGAAGCGAGATTAAAATATTCCACAATAAGAATCAGTTCATTATGTCATGGTTATGATTTGTGTTTAATCTGTCAAGTAGCAAACAGTGGTAATTACAGTGATAATGCATAGTAAAGGATAATACTAACTAGAAAATTGATTACTATCTGGTGTTATCTGATTGATTCATCAAATACATTATGTATCGATACGCTGCCATTTTTGTTCTAATTGTTCAAAACATCACACCATTTTTTTCACAATACTACAAGCTACTCTATACGCTGGTTGATTTTCTTTAAAGTCTGTTCTTGTATGCAATATGAATATCAGTAAGGAATTTTCAAAAATGACTTAGGTGGGACTAAGTGACTAGTACTGGGTTTCTGTATCACGGGCAAAGTCAACATTAAAAATAAAACTGTAACAGACACTTATCTAGACGTATTTATTAAACATCCTATTAAAAAGATTGCACATGACCAATTAAAAATGCCAGATTATCCAAACATTTAAATTAACCTATTGAAAATAGATACAACACATCTCTCAAAAATGTTCTGGCTCCAATGAGTATGTAAACATGTAATTAAGGATTATCAAGAAGACTGGAAATGATAACCATGTTTTGAAGCACAGTAAACATTTGCATATGAAGATTGTGTTTAAATTCTATTAAAATGCAACAAATATGCATAAATATTTGCCTATAGTTTTCCACAACTACCGTGTTTCTCCGAAAATAAGACCGGGTCTTATATTAATTTTAGTCACAAAAAAACACACTAGGGCTTATTTTCAGGGTAGGGCTTATTTATTTACGTTACCAGTATGTACAGCTCTTTCTCTTTGCACTCATCTTGTCTGGGGATCAAAATACCATACTGTCTAATTAATCCACCCCCCCTTTAATAAATCCACCCCCTCTAATTAATCCACCCCCTTTAATTAATCCACCCCCTCTAATTAATCCAGCCCACCCTTTCATTAATCCAGCCCACCCTTTAATTAATCCACCCCCTTTAATTAATCCACCCCTCTTTAATAAATCTACCCCCTTTAATAAATCCACCCCCTTTAATAAATCCACCCCCCTTTAATTAATCCACCCCCCTTAATTCAACCCCCTTTAATTAATCCACCCCCCTTTAATCCACCCCCTCTAATTAATCCACCCCTTTAATTAATTCACCCCCTCTAATTAATCCAGCCCACCCTTTAATTAATTCACCACCCATTTAATTAATTCACCAACCCTTTAATTAATTCACCCCCTCTAATTAATACAGCCCACCCTTTAATTAATTCACCCCCTTTAATTAATTCACCCCCCTCTAATTAATCCAGCCCACCCTTTAATTAATTCACCCCCCTTTAATTCACCCCCTTCTAATTAATCCAGCCCACCCTTTAATTAATTCACACCCCTTTAATTAATTCACCCCCTCTAATTAATCCAGCCCACCCTTTAATTAATTCACCACCCCTTTAATTAATTCACCCCCCTCTAATTAATCCAGCCCACCCTTTAATTAATTCACCACCCCTTTAATTAATTCACCACCCCTTTAATTAATTCACCCCCTCTAATTAATCCAGCCCACCCTTTAATTAATTGACCCCCCTTTAATTAATTCACCCCCCGCCCCCTTTAATTAATTCAGTCCCAGACATAAAATATCTACCGGTACTCACATTTCAAAGATTCCTTGCCGAGTCCGACCACTGGGTGCCTCACCGCCCGGAAATGGATCCTTCTGCTGAAGATCCGTGAAGGCAGACTGACGGCGCTGCGAAATGTCGTCATCACGTTGCGCGATGCCGTGGCCCGCAACGCTCCTCCTAAAGTAGAAGAAGGAAGTCTCGCCGCAAAGGTGCAATGCCTAGGTCTTATTTTCGGGGTAGGGCTTATATTGCAGCCAACCCCGAAAATCCGACTAGGGCTTATTTTCGGGGAAACACGGTAATAATGTACAAGTTGATATGGATAGAAAGGTTTCATGGGAGTTTAAACAAATGTCTAGTAACCTACCTAGTCAAAATGTTATGGTGTCTATTATTTTCATAGATTCTATTAGGTCCATAGATTTCAAACAAAAACCGTAGAGGATTGTTAGAATTATTTTAGGCAGACTTATCAATCAGTTAATTTCTTATTATGAAGTCATCCTATCACACTCACTCTATCACAGCCACCCTGCCACACTCATTCTGTCACAATCACCCTGTCACACTCACTCTTTCACAGTCACCCTGCCACACTCATTCTGTCACAATCACCCTGTCACACTCACTCTTTCACAGTCACCCTGTGACAGTCTTTTTCACACACACAGTCACACTCATGCATAAGTACCAAATCCCACAGACAGCAACCCTCATACACAGCACACAGTCTTCCCATAAACACAACACACACACATCAAGACCACATGTAACCTACACATATACATAATTCACTGGAAGCAGATCCCCCTCACACATACACTCCCAGACACAGAGATACATATGCTCAAAGGGCAACACACTGTTAATGTGTGTGTCTCAATGTCATTGTGTGTCTCCATGCATCAGTACACTTGTGTTTGTTTGTGCGTAAATGTATCAGAGTGTGCATATGTGTGTGTGTATCAGAGCGTGTATATTTGTGAGTGTGCCAGAGTGTGTCTATCAACGTGTATACACTGATCAGCCACAACATTAAAATCACCTGCCTAATTTCATGCAGGTCCCCCTTGTGCTGTAAAACAGCTCTAATGTGTCAAGGCATAGACATCTGAACGTGTCCTGTGGTATTTGGCACCAAGACATTAGCAGCAGATTGTTTAAGTCCTGCAGGTTGCTAGGTAGGGGGTCCATGGATTGGATTTGTTGTTCCAGCACATCCCACAGGTGCTCAATCAAATTGAGATCTGGGGAATTTGGAAGCCACGGCAAAACCTTAAACTCTTTGTTATGTTCCTCTAATTTTCTTATTAAAATTATTATTGTCCCATCAGTCATGCACCAGCAAGTCAGTATCATTATAAAATACACAAAAATTACAAAATAAAATAGGAAATGTGTTCATAACTGCTGATTAGTTTGCAATACACGAAAAAAGAATCCTGTGGATTACAGAGTTCATAATTCCCTCATCACAGAGATGGATTTATATGACATGTGCCTGTAGGTAAAGGACTCTCTGACATCCCTACCTTCACCTCCAAAAAGCAGTGTTTTTTGCTGTCTGCTCCACGATTAGTAGGACACATTACTGCATTGCAAAATATATATTCACGGATACCATTCCCAAAAGACAGGATAATGCAGATACTTGCCTACAGTACCAGCTTGTAATTCCAGTCAAAAGCCATTCATGGTGTCCCTTGGAAGGACTTGTTGTCGTCCTCATGTTGCAAGAGAGCCAACATCAGCTGTCAGGCAGATTTTGGATGAATGACATACTGCCAGCAGACAGAGGATAAGGAATGAAGCATCATTCCACCAATTGTGGCCCCTTCAATAAGTCTCGCCAGAGGGGAGGGAGGGCAGGTATGACGGGCTGAAGGGGGGTACTACCATTGCTGTCAATGGTGGCTTTAGATACCATGTTTACAAATACGTTCTGGCTAATATCAACTATGTGCAACATGTTTGCTGGAGGTGGAGTCACACCTTTGGTCGCTAAGTGGTTAATTTCTACATGTGACGTGTTTCACAGTGAAATGCTGCAAATACAGACTCCAGGCGCCATGACCACTTCAGATCACTGAAGTCATGGTGCTTGAAGAAACCACTTAAATATTTGTATCTTAGCAAGCTCAGTAAATTATTTGGAGATGTTGAGGGTAAAACATCACACAGTTCTGCCTATTTTGCCCTATGTTCAGACAGTTCTGCAGAAGATCCACGAGTTCACATTTTCTAATCTCTGAATATCTCACACCAACATCACATTTGTGTGCATGTATTCTCTACTCTCTAAGTGTATGTCAAGATGTGCTAATTACTTCTCACATTAAAACTTTTTAAAATAATTATTTTGATTTAAAAAACAAAAAGTGTATAATATGACATGATTATATATTAGAAAGTGAATAATTTTTTTAGTGGTAAATAATTCAAATAATTCAATATTAGGGTTCTGGAAAAGTACATAAATCACTTTTGCATTTGGTCACAGGGTTTACACTGTCTCCAAAATCCCTCAATCATATTATATTCCCATAATATTAATTCATATTTTTATAATGTATTATCTCTATTTATGTACATACTATATTTTATGGACATATACATATTTACTTAGTATTGTAGCATTGATATGTAGTTTTTTTAGTTTAAAGAAAGACAATGCAATAAAGTGCAATTCATGTTATTCATGTGTACTAAACAGATTTTTGAAAATGTCTTGATCTTGTCACCCCTTTGAAAGAATATTTTTGCGGTTTTCTTGATAACCCTTAAATTGCCTTGTACATTTAATATGACACGTATATTTATCTCAAGACAAAGTCAATTTAATATTACTAAAAAAAAAGAACCCTTCTGTTAGATAATAAGAAAAAGTGTTTCAAATTAGCTCTCTTGAAACTTTGTACAACAGATTATGTTCTTAAAAACATTGACCTATACAGTGTGCATGTTTAGCACAACATCTCATTTAATGTTTGAAGTTTCTAGGATTTGTTAAAAATATGATAATACCTAAACAGATAAAAGATTATATGCTTTATGTATATACTACAGAGCTTGTTCCAGTCTGGATGCTGTGTATTAATTGGCCACCTACAGAGACAACTGTTTAACATTTACAACATATTTTAAATGCTACCCAGGCAGAAGAGCATATAGCTAAATTTGCAACATTCTGGAACACATTTAAACAATGTGTGCAGCCTTAGTCACATTGAATTACATTTACCCCCATAGACAGGTTGCGACATATGTAATAAATTGTGCAGTAGAAAAAAAATATGATTAAAAAAGAATTGACATGATATAACATGCCATTATAATGGTTGTTTCTATATACAGTATTGTATTTATATAACAACAAATAAATCGCCAACTATTAACACACGTTAAGAGTCTGTCCCAACCATCCATTATTTTTATCTAGGAATTTGTTGTTGCCCCAGTAGTGATGAAGAGAGTTTTCTAACTGCACAACAGATTAAACGATTGCTTAATCTAATTTGCCAGATGCTGCAATTACTCTGTTTGTTCTGTGGGAACCTACAGCAGCAGGAAAGTTATGATGTGCAATTGGTCCTATAACAGTACAATCTGGCCCCAACATTGATGCTCATTTAGATAAAAAAAAAAAAAAGTGAACTTTTTTCAAAAAATTAAAAAACATAATTAAAAAAAAATGCTCCCTAGTCTGCCTTTGCTATTCTCCACCGTAAAAAAAATTATGGAATGAAAGAAGGAATAGAAATGATTTGTCAGGTCTCCATTCATTCATGATTAACCCCCACCCCATTGTGCATGGGTTGGAGGTAAAGGGTGGCTGTTTTTATGGAAGCCCTCTTGAAATAGGGGATTTGCAATGATCCATAATAACTTGTTTTGTTTGGGTGAAAGCCATCTAATGATTAACTCTCTGTCCCTGAGATGTCAGTTTCTTAAACAATGTTAGTTATGACACGCATCTGTAAGACCCTCTAAAATGCAGGGATTAGAGATAGTACTTTGCTTGCCTCAACCAAGCAGGGGGTCTAACTATATCTTGTGGGCCAATTAAACTTTTTAATGGACAGAGAGATTTGTATCACATCGACTCCACCACACAGAGGAATCAGTGCAGATAATTAAGACATATAACTATTTACTGAATGGATTGCAACAGATTAATTTTTTTATTTCTGTTTAAAATTCCTAAACCACTGTAGTGCATATCATTCTTTAATGGTTATCACCACTTACAATAACTCAAGCCTAGATAGTTATCA